TAGATCTTATCCTTACGCATTTTCCTTTATCTATGATGATGTTGAGGATCTCTTTTCCTCCTCGGTATAGTCTATCGATGTTAATGTATACTCTGTCTCTTAAATTCAATTTCCTTCCCTTCATTTTCTTTCTGATTTGGTTCTTTAAACCCTCTTTTACTGTGCTTTCCCTCTTAGCTATTGAAAGTTGCTAGATCCTTCTCTATTGTGCGAATAGTATGGAGCTCATTTTATGTTTGGAGTCTATTATTCACTTCATGTTATTCGATTTTGTTCAAAAAACCTGAACAACTGATCGTTTGTTTTTTAGTTGTGTTCTTGATGCATCCATCTCATTTGTTTTCTGTTTTGTGAAACTTAATTGAACTGTTTATCATTTGTTTAAATATTATTTTTAATATTTTTATCAATAAACTATTAATTATTTTACTTAAGTTTTTAATTTTTTGATGTTTTTAGCAATAAAATAATATTTTCAAATATATATTTTTAATTTTTTATTATTTCATTATCATTTTTTTTTAAATTAATATTAATTTATTGATGCCTTTTCCAATATATTTATCATATAAAATGCAAAAATTAGATGTGATTAATTGTGTAGGTCATTCATAAACTATATATGAGATACATGGAATCAAAAAGTATGGTGTGGATAGGGATGCAAATGGATCAGATCAAGATGCGATTTGATCCAATTTGGTCAAATTCAGTAACCCCTATTTGATCTGAGAAGATCCGATCCGATGTGTTATATATTTATAGATATATATGTAATTTATTTATTTATAAATATATTATTTATATTGTATTTTTATAAATTTGTTATATTATTTATTTTTTTATAAAAACATGTATATATGATGAAAATAATTAAAAAAATACTTATATTTTCTGTTTTTTTTTAATTAAATTGCTATATTTTATTTTATTTTTTAATAATTTATTAATTTTTAAAGAAAACAAATCGAATCAAATCAGATCCGATAGGATTCAAATTCAGATGGAGTCCTATCAGATCTGATTGGATCTTTGGTTCAGATCAGATTTGAATATACCCTAATTCGAATCCGATTCAATCTATTTGTGGACCGGTATAATACACACAATTTGTCCATAATTCAAAACAATTATGAACTATATACCTACCAGTTTTTCATCCGCATTAAAGAACATCCTCTTATCTTATTAATGATGATTCTCTTTAACCCTTGGAATGGTATCATATCAATGATTTCAGTTTGCAAGTTTGCATGTTGGTTTATGAAATTTTGATTATTTTATGAAGAATAAAATGAAAATCAAAGTCGTAGCACGGTAGCTGATACAGGGTACAGATTGAAATCAGGAAAAAGAGAGACACGTATGAGAACTTGGAATTATGTGCAGGGAGGAGCGAATGAAAACGACTACGCAATTTGCAACGATTTGTACCATGTGAAATGCACGTGTTAGGTAATCTCTCTCTCTTATTCTCCTTGTTTGATCGGAAGAACAAAGACAGTCTCGTCAAAGGGTACAATATTGGCAGAAAGAGAAAAACAATGTCCTTTGTCTCCGCTCTGTCATGCGTGTCTGTTCTAAGAATTATGGGCTAAATTGCGAGACGAGACACTGAGACACATGGAATTTACCGAAGGCTAAGGCATTGCCATACCAGCTTTTATACTTCTGCCCTTTTTGGAAATTATGGTTTAATCTTTAAACCATTGGGCCTGCAATATTCAACTTAGGGGGTGTTTGCTACCATGCGTGATTTTGTTTTTTCAAAAGCAAAAGCAACTGCCATGTTAGGAAAAAAAAATAATTGCTTCAAGTGAAGGAAACAACAATGAACATCCGATTCCATTTGATTTAAATATGTATGCTCACATATACTTAAATTATATATTTTATCTGCTAACAAAGTTAGTCTGAATGTTGCATTTTTACTTAATTGTCATATGTTGAAGTTATGCATTCAATTTATTTTGCTCATGAAACATAATATTAAAGTCCATTTTATTAATAATATAAAATATTTTGATAAATTTTAATTTTATTTATTGATACTATTCAATATTCGATTACAACCCAAATTCAATTTGAATCTTATGTATAAGATTCGATTAGAATTCAAATTTAAATGTGAATTAACAAAATTTGGATACCTATATCCGTTTTTAGTTGATCCGTTTGCAGCCCTAAGCATAAGACTAACATTAAAACAAATCAAGTTTGATTTTTAAATCTATTTATATATATAATATATGTTTTTTAATGAGCAAAATAGAATGCCACAATGGAATACTAGCAATTTTCCAAAACCTTATATCATAAAAAGATAATATATTTGTTTCAAGAAACTGACGTTTATTACTAGTATGTACTTGAGTCTCTTAATTTGTTGAGCTTTTTGTTAGGGCATTGAGAAATGAGAATAAATAAAATAAGTCATGCATATTTTATTTTATTTTTATGTTGGGAAATACGATAATTAAGAGGATGTGCTTATTTCTTGCCTCTTGTTATCACATTGACTTATAAGAAGAGGACGAAAATTATGGCAGATAATCTTATCATTATAAGCACAAAAAGGGTGAGAGGTAACATATAGAAGAACTCAATTTACATGGCGCATATGCTTGAGTCGGGTCTGGGTTGGGACCAGCTAGAATCGGAATCAAGCCAGACCTATTAGGGTCTATAATTTTTAGGCATAGAATCGAATCGATTGATTCTCGGGGCAATTGGGTTTGACCTAATGGGCCTGATTATAATACATAAATAAATGTATATATATATATATATATATATTAAATATTAAATATTATATGTATATAATTCGGGTTGGGTCTGAATTGGTTTGTAACAAGGTGGAATTGATTTTAAACTGATAATAATCGAGACACTATATTAAGACTCGGAACTAATTGATCAGTTTTAATCCCTAGAACCAATACCGCCCAATTGTTTCAGATCTGTCGAATAAGATTCGACTCATTAACAGCCCTAATGATAGATGATCTTATCATAAAACCACTAAGATGAGTCTAAATCCTGTGAAAGCAAAAATTGTGCAAATACCCCCAAAAGCTTAGCATCAAGATGCACAGTAAAAATATTTGAGAAAATTCCTGATCAGTACCTTATATTTTGGCTTGAGTGTCAATTTGGTCCCCAAACTTTAAAATGCGACAATCCAATACTTGAACTTTCAAAATGTGACAATCCAGTACTTGTCGTTAACCAGTCCGTTAATCAGCTGTTAAGTGACACTTGGAAAGTAAAAAATGCCTTTTGAATGCCATGTAATTCTCTTTATCAATCATCCAAACGTTGACAAAAAACTGAATAGTCCCAAATCCTAACTTCTTCTATTCAAAAAAAGGTTGATGACTGTTTAGAAGAATCTAGAATTTGACATTGTTTATTTTATTGTCAATGTTTTGATGGTTGATAAAGAGAATTAGATGGCATTTTTAGGGTATTTTTGACTTTTCAAATATCACTTAACGGCTGATTAACGAACTGGCTAATGACAGATATTGAATTGTCACGTTTTAAAAATTTGAATACTGGGTTATCACATTTTAAAAGTTCAGATACTTAATTGTCATATTTTAAAGTTCGGGGACTAAATTGTTACTCAAACGAGAATACAAGGTACATCAGGAATTTTCCTAAAATATTTTTTAATTTTATATTTATGTTACATTCATGGTAAGATATTATTGATGGGCAACTGGATGCCGTGTTGTCTGGGAGTTATACATGATATTTGCTTTCAGGAAATTCTGTCTCAATGAAAATGGTATTATGCTCGAATTATGGTCAAATAATTCAAGATTGGCCGGATCATAAACCACTGAAGGGTCATAAAATTTGCCGACTTATTGGAAATTCACAAGTATTTAACACCACAACAATAATATACACAAGGATTCATAGGTTACCTGTCAGTAGGAGAATCCTTTCATCTGGTCTTATTTACATGCTTCTTTTGGAGAAGTTGGCAATGGATCCCGCTAATGGATAGTCGGCAGATGGAGAGGAATATAGATGGATGGGGCCCGTACAGTGGAGCACAGATATATTACTGACCATTGAAATACTCTTACGTGCCACATTCCAATTACTTGTGGATGCCCAACACCAGTAGCGGATAAGATGTTGATGGGAGATGGTGAGTTGGTGATATTCATCAGAACGTTCAATACCCTGAGAGAGAGAGAGAGAGAAAAGGAGTTTTAATACCCTTCATGTCCTTAATGAGAGCGAAGTGTCCATCTACTTTTCTTTAGGGAAGAGAGAGAGAGTTACAAAGTTACAAATTTAGAAAGAGGGTTGTACTAATTAGAGAGAAAGAAAGATTGCGACATCGTCCAGCCAAACTCTTTAACTATAGATCAATAATCTTCATCCATCAATCCATCATTCAATCATACCAATATGAAAGCTAGATTTATATTTAACTAAATAGCTTTAAAGTTGTAAAACTCCATGAACTTAAGTTCATTCAGGAGAGAAACATCAGAAATGATTTGTTCATGATATCATGGCCCGTGACTGAGCCAAAAATGACCTTCCTTTCACTCCCAATCCAATATCCCTACTAGTTGGTACATGACAAAAACTAAACCCTCACAACAGGACAACTCCCTGGCCGGCCACCTCACATGACACCAGAAGACAACAGGAGTCCGTCTCCGATCCTCAGTCCTCTCTATCTCTCCTTCCTTTCTCTCCCCTTGGGACTTGGGAGGAAAAAAGAAAATAAAACCCTTTGCAGCCATGAAAAAGGTTCTTCAAAAACTGCTTCTATAGCCTCATTGTATCCCTTCCGTCCTACTACTGAAAAAGCTGATACTGTTAAGAGGGGATGTCTTTAGCCGAATTTGACTTCAACCAAGTTATTGGGATGAGGGTTTTTCTTCCCCTATCCCCTATGTTCAGTCCTTTTTCATGGGATGAACTATGAATCCCCAAAAAGCTGAGCTGTCTATTTTGCTTGATTCAATTGCAGAATTTTCCTAAAATATACTACTAACGGATCGTTTCCCAATGGAACCGCCACCAGTCTGGTCTCTTTCTTACTCTGCTCTACTTTGAAATTAATCTCATTTTCATTTTCATTTTTCACCCTCTTCGTCCTCTCTTTGTTCTCAACACCCTTCTACCCGGCCCCCTTCCTCTCTCTCCCAATGTTGCAATTCACTGAAACACCAATACTACCACCTCATCCCTTGCACCAATATGAACTTACTCCCTTCTCAAATAATCTCATAATGAGCAACAACGTTAACCCTTTTCATAGGACCCGGCCGTGGCCTGGTTTTCTCACATCCAAGACGCTTGGGAGCTTTGGTGATGCTAACTGCATGGAGCAGCTGCTAGTACACTGCGCCAACGCAATTGATAGCAACGACGCCACTTTAGCCCAACAGATCCTTTGGGTTTTAAACAATATCGCTCCTCCGGACGGCGACTCCAGCCAGCGTCTCACTTGTGGCTTCCTCCGAGCTCTTATCGCCCGTGCAGCAAAGACTGGAAGCTGTACTATGCTCACAGCAATGGCAACCGCCCAAGTAAATCTTCCTCTTAACGTCCACAAGTTCTCCGTTATCGAGCTTGCCAGCTTCGTTGACCTAACCCCCTGGCATCGATTTGGCTTCACCGCAGCTAATGCTGCCATATTAGAAGCCATCGAAGGGTTTTCCGTGGTCCACATCATTGATCTAAGCTCCACTCATTGCATGCAGATCCCGACACTAATTGATTCAATCGCCAATCGTTCAGAGGGTCCACCCTTGATCAAGCTCACAGTAGCCGGCGCCACCACCGATGTCCCACCCCTGCTCGACCTTTCGTATGAGGAGTTGGGGTCGAAGCTGGTCAACTTTGCAAGGTCTCGGAATGTAGGGATGGAGTTCAGAGTGATTCCTTCGAGTTCCTCTGATGGGTTTGCATCATTGGTTGAACAGCTTCGAGCAGTGCAACAGCTAATATTAGCTAATGGAGGCGGCGAAGGAGAGGCTCTCGTGATAAACTGCCACATGATGCTTCATTACATACCAGAAGAAACCCTCGGTGTAACTCCTTACTGCTTCGAATCCTCTTCTACTTCTTCTCTTCGGACGATGTTTCTTACAGCTATTCGCAGTTTAGAGCCGACCATTGTTGTTCTGGTAGATGAAGATGCAGACTTCACATCCAACAACTTAGTCTGTAGGTTGAGATCGGCTTTTGATTATCTGTGGATACCTTACGATACTATGGATACATTCTTTCCCAAAGGGAGCAAGCAGAAGCAATGGTACGAAGCCGATTTATGCTGGAAGATAGAAAATTTGATTGCACAAGAGGGTGTGCAGAGGGTCGAGCGGCTCGAACCCAAAAGTAGGTGGATTCAGAGAATGCAAAGTGCGAATTTCCGAGGAATCCAGTTTAGCGAAGAGACTGTTCTGGAGGTGAAGAGCATGCTTGATGAGCACGCCGCTGGTTGGGGATTGAAGAAGGAAGAAGATGAAGGTCTTGTGCTTACATGGAAAGGACACAATGTTGTGTTTTCCACTGCTTGGGTACCTGCTTGAAACTTTTTCTCCTCCTTAATTTCTTTTCATTCTTAATTTGCTGATTAACATATCTCTAATCTTCTCCTTGGGACCTCTCATTCTTCTGCTAATGTTTTCTCCACAAGTAGATTTTTGTTTTAATTAGGGGGCTTCAATTAGTTCCTCTAATTTAAACTATTTTCTCCTAATCATTTTTTAGCGTGATTAGGATCATTGGAGCAAGAACCTTGTACATCTCTCTCAATCTCCCTCTCATGTTTGAATGGTACCTTTTCCCCCTTTCCACTGTAGCTTTAGGCAGTACTTGTCTCTAGTGCATTTATGTGCGTGTCAATGTTCTTTTCTGGTTGTTTTTGGTGTGTGAGCGTGTGTGTCACTGTTCTCAGCTTTTATTATATTCTTCGCCAAGTTGAATTTGAGTTCAAATAACTCATTATTGCTTTTCCATAGTGTATTAATTAAGGATTCTGATAACAAACAGCTTAAAGACCACAATACCATACAACACCATTCTTGAATCCAGTTGTATATATGCGTCATAGCTCAATGCATTAATGTTGATTTCTGTTTTCTTTATATCAGCACATCATGCATTTTTTTTTTTGAATTTCAACTGGTTACAAATAGCTTTACAATCGACTAAAGAGGGTTTTCAAAGAGCTTTTCGGCTTACAATGATCATTTAGGTTGTATTTGGAACCATTGCTGTTTCTTCATGAAACTTTTGAGATTGATCAATAGAAATTGGTGTTAAAATATGAGTTGTTATGTTACATACACATTTTGGGTTGATAAATATAAATTGCTGTAATTACTTGAAACATTAATGATGTTTGAACTCTAAGCACTAACAGTCCCCACATGCATTTTTTCAGTTGAGGTGACTCCCTTGTATAACCTGACCACTCATCTTTTTCATCAATTTCTGTTGACCTATCCCAAAACATTTCATGAAGAAAATGCAATGAAATGTTAGTTGTCACAAAAGATCTTTGTGAAATTTTACCAGAGAAATCCGGATGGTCAGGAGATTCCTGGAATGTGGAAAAAGGAAATAACAGTGTGGATTTACACTTGTAGATGATCCCATTAAAGTCTTGATCACAAGAAGCTGGCTTTTAGTATTGATTTCTTGATTGTGGGTGGAGACTGAGATAGGAAAATGTTGGGAAGTATGTATGATCTTGGATGTAAATAGTGTCAATATAATAGATCAAAGCAACATTAAGTAGGCTGAAATGCATGCCAGATCCGGTCAATTTAAGAGAGACACTATCACTTAAATAGAATGCAAAATGTTGCCACACTAGAGTAACGAAGGTTACTATTGTTAGAGAATAAAGCTAGCTATTCAATGATCTCACCCAACAGCTTAAGTTTTTAGGTTGAATGGTTCCTTGAGATGGTATAAGAGCCTGTGTTTACCAAGTGATCTAGTGTTTGATTCTTATTGCCCCCATAATATTTAATTAAATTTAAACACAAGGTATGGGTGGGCCTATGCTTATACAAACTTCGAACCTGATGGACTTTCACATGAGGGGGTGTGTTAGAGAATAAAAACCTATTCAGGGACCTCATCTAGTAGTTTAAGATTTTGGGTTGAATGGTTCTTTCAAAAGTATTGTTGTTTGTATGATCTTTTTAACATTATTTGTTGTTTGTGACTATGATTTGCACTCTTACTTGATACAAAATTTCTACTATTTTTTGTCTCATTTGTACTCATTGGTAGCAAAGATTAAAATATCGATGTGATATACCTGATAGAGTGCATATCTTATTGGTATTGGTATCAATGTAGATACACTTGGATAAATTGATACACAAATATTTTGAAAACTTTAAAGAGTCTCAAGCCTATTCTAGGACCATCTCATTATTATAAAATTACAAAAATAAAAAAATAAAAAAAAAAGAGTATCAATTATATCGACACACATTGATACCCAATGATGTTTTAAACCTTGATTTACATTACAAATTTTGAATCTCATAAATTGATGTAAATTCTACAGCACCTTCTTCATCCAATCTATCTCATATATAGTGGAGACCACATTATACTTGATTCCTATCTCCGAAACAAATAACTCAACTGATCGTGGCTTGGTTGATAAGTTCTTTAGCTAGTTGTAGCAGAAACTTGGGATTAAATCCAATTGCCATTAAAGTTGGGGGGTAATGGGTATGGAGGACGAGCTGCTAGGCTCCCACAAATAAATAAGACAAAGTCAATCAGAATTTAGTAATTCACACTTGGCCTTTTTGCATTCTCGTGCATTTACACTTTGGCTCAGTTTGGAAAGAGTACAAATACATACAAAGCAATACAAAATGTAAGATTTTGCACTGTACATATTTGTATTTCTACTTCTTCCAAACTAAGCCTTAATGATAATGAAATTTGATCTCCAAACAACCTAAGCATTAGAAGCTATTTGGCACTTTGCGGAAGTGGACAAAAATGTAGTGGTGATAAAATCATATTATTTTTCTATCTCCAATTAATATACTTTAAGAAACAAGAATGAGGGTCCTCTTCTTATTTGGAAACGACAAGCTGTTTATTTCCCTCGAGAGTTGGATTTTATTTGTTGGAGTGACGTTTGGGGACGTGCTACCCCAGGCTTGTGTAGCTCCTTCTGGTTCTATCAAGAAAAAGAAACGACAAGTTGTTCTGCCTGCTACTGCTTGAAACTCTATTTGAAACAGTTTCTTCTAGTATCATCTTCTCGTCGTCTCACACTCTCCCTTCGTTTAACCTATTTACTTTAGGTTGTTAGAAATTTAGAATTAGAGCTTAGAAATTCAAGAGCTATCATAAATAAATAAAAAGAAATTTGATACCAATGTTCTTCGAAGTGTGAAATTGTGAACTGTAGAACCACAGACACATTACCATTGAGTGATTGCAATAAACGTGGACAGAATTCTCGGAGATCCAGACTCGCCATTGAGTAGTGTAATACCGCACCCAGCAACTCTTGTGACCCAACGAAACAGTTTTCCACAAAGAGGGATGCCTTTGTAATTTCTTCTTAAAGGGCTCTGAAAGCATATTTGGACGAATATTGATGGTCATGTATATTAGTTCAGAATCTTTAGATTATGTGAACACAATGGATGTTCATATATTTTATTATTGACATGAAACATTATGCCCACTGAACAGACACTGGGTTCAGCTAATCCTTGCTCCAACGGGCATAATGGACTAACCGATAACCAACTGGCATGATCAACAAGCATTTAAATCCTGAAGCATGGGAATCAGGAGGGAGGGACAAAGGGTAGGATTTAGAAAAACATTCATGATTCATCCTATGAACAAGACATCAGTGGGAACGGGCAAAGATGGGCATTTTTTTTTTAAGATTTTAACAAGGACTGGACATTCAAATCCAAACCAAAATTTAGTTTCTTGTCCATGTTTCGTGATGGACAATTTGTTCAATGTGAACTGTTTTTCTAACACTGGTTTCGGTTTGTATTTTTAGTTTTTATAATTGAAATTTATAATTTAAACCGAATTAACGAATTTGGAAGAAATACAAATATAAATACGAGTGCAAAACCTTGCAATTTTGTATGCTATTTGTATTAGTATTTAGTACACTTTCAAAACCAAGCATCAAGGATAATGTATTTCCATCAATCAACCAGAGTGATAAAAATGGTAACCAATAAAGTGGGATTTTAATCAAAATTCACCCGGGGGAGGGGGAGGGATTGGTCAAATCCTTCAGATTCCATGCTCAAAAAATCAAACAACTCATGCACCACAAAACCTTTTTTTTGTTGTTGAAGTTCCGAAAAAGCAGCGTGTTTTTAGACTGAATTAAAGGGTGCGTTACTGTTTTTGCTCTGATGAGGCGACTTAAAGAACAAATGAATACAAAAAAATTGATCACCCAGTAAGATTCCAATTCCCGGATCACTAACAGACGAGCGATCAGTTACTGTTTCTAGTCCTAGAGAATGAGTTTCAGATCTCCTTTGTTTTCATAAAAAGTGGTCACATTCAGATTTAGTACATGTTCTTGCTTTTTAAAACGACCAAAGGGGCAGAACTGTGGTGTTCAATAGCCCCATGATCACGTTTGATTGGAGCATATTCAAGTTCAAATAAAACAAACAAAAGAAAAAAGCTATTGATGATGCCAAAATAAGAATGATTTATCAAAGACCAAATCCCAGTCAACTTAACAAAACTACTAGTTCATAAGAGTATCCATATTCGCTGGCAAACTTCCAAAGTAAATGCTCATGGATAAGGCTCCTCTCCCCCCAAGTCCATAATTCCTCAGCGGTACTGAAACAAACACACACAAATCATTAGAAATGGATCCTCACATCTTAGAAAGGAAAGCAAGATATAACCGCTCCACAAAAACCCATATGCACAATTACTAGAATATAGGAAGTGGTAGAGAAACACTAAACGGTGTAAAAGGCTCTGAGTGCATTGAGAAGATAGGATTTTCTTAAATTGAGAATCAAGTAGTTCAGGTTAAGGTTGAATCAAGTGATTTAAGACACATTTACAAATACATATCACAACAAGCTATTTACCTTAATGAAACCAATTTCTTTGGCATTGCTGCGGAAGCACTGTCTGCAACACATCAGGCCATATTTCCGGATTAGCCCATGAGGGTTCCCGCATACTCGGCTGACCAAAATAATAAATAAAAATTAAATGACATACCAAATCACTAATTTTTCTCCTGGTTCAGTAATTTATAAATATATCTACAAATATCATCTCAACAGCCCAAAAAAACCAAAATAGTGAATCATCATCATCACAAGTAAAATTTGACCATTAAATAATTGTCATCTTTCTGTGTAATTCTTGTTTAGTTTAAATTAATTGTCTCAGATAATAAATTAAAACGTCTTGCTAGTGCCAACAATACAGGCCGGCCTTAAAAGCTTTGGCCTACTAGAAAGATTACTACAAGATTACCACATTGACCAGGCTCCAATGATAATGACATGAAACAAGCAAACCAATGACAGGAAAACTGCACAGCTCAGAATGACCAATTGTGACTATGAAAATCTAAATGTCATCAGAGCGCTTCAGTAAGTAACCAAAGAACTTCAAATAAGAAACGGGAATAAATAGGCCACAGCCGCCACAGAAAAGGATGTTTCAAGTCAAAAACAATACCAAGAAATACATGTATTTTTGCACTACAACACAGGGAAACATAATCGGATTCAGCTAATTAAATCGAGCAATTCAGAAACAAAGCAAGCTCGTTTTGTTGGAAAGGACAAGAGTTAGGATATGGGAAGGAAAAGAAAACAACAAAAGTTTCCCATATATGCCATTTAAATCATCCAAGAGCTGCGAGTAATGCAGTTGGTGTCGAAACAAAGAAATATTTTCCAACCCATCAAATTCTGTGATGTGCCAAGACTAGTAGGCAATCTCGAGACCCTGAAATCACTAAATAAACCTCCAACTAACAATAAGACGCCTAAAACTGCGACATCATCTGCAGGGAAAAAATCAACAGAAAGACCAGGAAGAGAAAATTACCTTGCCTTTCTAGTGGTTTTTTCACAGCAAATCCCCACAAAAAAACAAGAGTGTAAATCCAATATTCATGGATAAACCACAGCTCTTCTAGAGGAGTTTATAATTTTGTAAGGTTGAACTTTCAACGTTTTTCCCCGGACCTTGAAGCTCCGAAGAGATCAATGGGGCTCTTTCACCTTCGTTACAATACCAGATTGTCCTCCTTTGTACCATCTTTTCATTTCCTTCCTAGCTATGTTTTAGTTCTCCTCCCGAATAAATTCTTCAATATACCAGTTCACACAAAAAAAAAGAAATTCTACATCTTCCATTGGCTATACGCAGCATAAACTTTCTGATCTTATCTAATCAGACCCATTATTTGAATATTCTTTTCAGAGTTCCGCAAACCAGTCCATCAGTCACTGGCTACAAGTCAATCTCCAAACTATATTTTCTTAACAAGGGTAAACAAAAACAAAGATTGCATCCAACTGGATCGACCATCCTACGCTTATCATTTGCCAAATCAAAAAAAAAAAAAAAACAGACTACCCATATAAACAAGTTTGAAATTCATGCAATACGGGGCAGAGTTGGTCTCACATGCAAGAAAGAAAACATCACATTAAATGGGCCATTACAGGATCAGAAAAACATCACAGGTCGTGTAAAAACAGGGAGAAATAGCTTCAGATTAGAAGACATCGAGAAGAAATCTCTCACCATGCCCGGGAGCCGGGACCGTAGTTTTTCGGATGAGAATTCCAAACATTAGAATGGCCCATTGCTCCAAGCTCAGATCCTAGATGCCTGCTGCTGCTGCTGCTGCCGCCGTTGAAGAAAGAAAACCCTTGAGCAATAGATTTCAGCAAGTCGAAAATTGGAGGCGTCTAAGGGCTTTATAGTTCTTCTTAAAACCCTAGTTGTGTAACCGGTGGATTGGTGTGACTGACATGGGGGCATGGCGGTGGAACAATACTGGGTGAGGTTAGTAGATTCCAATCTGACGTTCGTCCTCTCATGTGAGGAAAGGCTTTTCCGATCTACAATCCCAACACGCCAAATCTCCAACGCACAAAATAATCCCAATCTAACGGCACAGAGCCTAGCACTGAACGACTTTTTTGAATGACTAAAATGTCCTTTTCAACTAAAAATTGGTCATCTCATCTGCTGATAGCACGGCACGCTTCATCTTCTCAGACTCTCAGATCAACAAACTTCAAAGTTCAAACCAAAACGTCAATGGAGAACGGAGCTTCATCATCTTCCGCTGCATTAGTAACTTATATTCTCTCTTTTTTTTTCTTTTTATAATTTATAATTTCCAAGATTTTACACTTCCGTTTTTCCTGATCGAGGAACCAAATTTCAGGACGAACAACAAAGAGAAGAAGAAGAAGAGTTATTCTATTATGGCGCCGAATCGGGTTGGGTTGAAGCGCGAACTTCTTGCGACCATCTGCATACTCTATCTTCTGATCTTTCGCACATCCCGGCTCCCGGTACTCCTTGCACCAGGTCATATTTCCATCTCCGAACCCTTACAATAAAGCCACCTAGAATTCCAGATTTCTAAGCAATATCCCAATAATTTATGCTTTGGATTTTTTTCTTTTAAATTTTTCCAAGGTGTCATGGGCAGGGCAGAAACGGTAGCGTTTGTCGTTTGGTAGAGTTCTTGGAGAGGATACTGAATTAGTGATCGTAATTTCTGAGCGTGATCTCTTATTCTGACTGGGTTGGGAATTAGCTTCTTATAGACTCAAAATTTGGCGGTTCTCATGGCTGCATACCATATAGGAGCACTTTAGCTTTGGGGCAACTGTGGCTATACAAAGAACGTGCAATGGTTGCGTGGACATGTGATCTTATGAACCCATCCGGCAGTTCTATTGACCTGCTTTCGTCTACTTCAGGGGAACCCTGGCTTATTTCCCTTTCAAAGTTGTTCCTGGCTATCCTGTCGCAAGCTTAGTTAACCCATCATAGTGTTTAATACCTGTTCTATCTAATACCTTTCTCCAGCATGAAGGATGGTCCATCCAGACAATTAGTAGAGATCTTTGTCAAAAGAATTTTGGACTAGCGCTATGTTGTTCGCTGAAGAAAACCTTCCATTTTGAGTTGCTGATTTAAGAGATGTTGGCATTTAGTACAATCCTAATGTTGGCAAATACTTTGATAAATTTAGAACCAATGTTAAATCGTTATCTTTATCAAGGAATCACCTTCCCTAGATTTCTTATAAACATCATCATCCTTACCTTTCTTTTAGGGCTCATCTCGTTTGGGAAGGTTTGAGCTTTGGTGGAGTTGCTTCAGCTAAGCTGCTTTGAAGAACCCACTAAAACAAGCTTCAACAGAGAACCGTGTAAGTTACTGAAAAATAGTCAGTTTGATCTATCCAGATATTGCACCAAATATTGCTCTCTGGCCTTCTGGGTTGCCTCACCTTGCAAAGCCAACGCAGCAATATAAAAGCCCTCCTAAACGGGTACTTAGTAGTCCTACCCATTATCCCATTCTACACCTACTTTTGCTACTTTGTTTGAATTAACCACCATCCTTAGATTTCTCCCAGGCATCTTTCTTTAATTCTTGATTCTAATTTAGGATATTAATTATCAAAGGATCCTAATCTAGGAAAGTTCTTCCTAACAATTTGCGGGTTTAGTGAAGCAATGTCATGATTAGTCAAGTACAAAAATTGTCCATAAATTTTGTACTACCAATAAGTAGCGCTAGAATAACATGCCTCATCAATAGGGCAATGCTAGACAATCAGCTTGATATCTTAATTTTCTGTCTCTCTGATTTCCATATACACCTTCTTTCGTGCACCTTATACATCCTTCTGCTTGGCAAACATAAGGTTGGCATTCCTACCTCTTCTGCACATTTTTTTTTCTAAGAAAAGCTAAACTATCTATATCTATATATTAAAATGGAATGTGCCAAGCTGGCACTTTCCTGCTTTGTGGTTTATTCTCAAAGTCACTTATCTTTTTTCTGGTTTCTCCTCAAAGGCACCTTATCTTTTTTCTGCTTTTTTTGAATTTTCTAATTTTAAAATTGAACAAAATTACTCAAGTGACCAATTACCTTTAAGATTTTTAACTCTCCTCATTAATACACCATTCTCTCTCTCTCTCTCTCTCTCTCTCTCTCTCTCTCTCTCTCCTCCCATTAACTCCTTTAATAATCTATCCTCATTAATTATGCCGTTAACTCTCTCCTCCCACGCCTTTTAAAACACTGGTACAAAAAGACTGTACAATGGGAATTAAATGGTTATGTAGATCCTATCTATGTATTATCTCTATACATATTTTCAAAACCAACATAGAGTTATGAGCTGATGCAACTTCTTTGTGTACAGAACACCAAGATATTAATGATCCAGTTGTCCTAGCTAACCAGTCTTGATTACTACATGCCACATTCCTGAATAGCCAAGCATTTCTCTCCCTCCAAATGTTCCAGATACCTCTTCTGCACCTTTTATATTTCCTTAATTTGTTGGTTTAATATTTAGCTTCTTCTTTTTTGCCTGATTAATCGTAGACAACTAGGTAACACTATTTTTCTCTATATTTTCCCGGGGGTGAGCTGACATTGTTGGATCAAGTGTTAATTACTGAGAATTTACAGAAGATGGAATGGGATTCAAAGAATCCCAAGATGGTGTTGAGACCGTGGAGATGTTCAACCACCTTGTCTACCTTCATATTTAAGGATTCTATATACAAAGTACAGAGTTCCTTAATATTAGTATTGTTTGTTTCTACTGAAGATCATCCATTTATTATCTAGGTTATGATCAATGTTTGTACTTTGTACAACTAAATTTAGTGGACCTTATTTTTGGTTTATTATCAGAATAATATTCTGTCCTGCTCCTAGAGAACAACCCAGTTTTGCCCAGTAAAGAAATTGAAACAGGCAATGTTTAGCATTATGCATTTTTCTCCTAGAGCATTACGCATTTTTCTACACGAAGAGTGTAGCATTACACTAGCAGTCATGAGTAGTTTTTTCTTTCATATTTATTTATTTATTTAGTTTTTGAGCTTAACAATGGATATGGCATTAAACTGAACGGAATGGACAAAAATGGGATTCATGTAGCCAACCCCAGTTCTTATTTTTCTTCTTGCCCAGCCAGACTTCTGGATAGGTGTCAGATTCTGATTACAATGTCTTGTCCATGCAACACTGTTCACAATAGAACTTTCTAGGCATCAATATTTACATCATTGCAAAAATGATACAAAGTTAACCAGTTGGTTAGCTTCTCTAAGATTCTAAGTCTCTAACCAACTTTGCAGCAGTCATGAGTAAATCTAAGTAGGCATTTACATGAGGTCTTATGTTGTATAGTGTTTTCTTTTATCAGTAACTGATAATGTTTAATGATGGCATAGTACAAATTAATGAGCCTATAGCGGGTTAATGCAAAGTTAAAACTACAAAAAGGAATCTAAATGCTTAAAGATAGTTAGGACCAGAAAGCAACAATTTTCACTACCTTGGCTCATTGAAACCCTGTATTGTCAACGAAATATCATTCCTTATCTTGTACACTCATTTTAATTTTAAGGTGCCACCACCCTGCGGAGAACTGGTTATGTTTGTGCTGTAAGGATGTCCTATGCAGCCGTTTCATAAACAAGCACATGCTTGACCATTATCAGGAACAAAACCACTGTCTGGCACTGAGCTTCAGGTATATGTTTACTGATCCCTTTTTTTTCGGTAATTTTACTTCTCACCTGGAATCAACGTGTACATTTGTTTTTTCTTTTTCTTTTTGGAGCAGTGATTTGTCAGTTTGGTGTTACGCATGCAATGCATATTTAGATGCTCAAGTTATATTGCAATTGCGATCGGTATATGAGACCACCTACTTACTGAAATTTGGTGAACCCCCACCATTTCGGATGATAGAATGTTCACAGGTTTCTGATAATCAGGCAGCAGATTCATCAGTACTTAAAGTATGATAACCTTTATTCCTCAAAAGAATAAAAAGAACCTGAATCATTTTGTGCTCATTTTTGTTTTTCTTGGTGTTTGTAACTGAATGTAGTGCTTAAAATTACATATACAGTTGTACTATAGAATTTTTAAGGAAAGGAAAAGAAACTTTGAGACAACTATTATGTATTGGTTCCTCGGGCAGTTACTCCCATTTTTTTTCTCATGTGTCTCTCTCACACAAATCCAGAAGGAATGGGGATTATGGTTGTCCTCTCGCCCTCCTGCCAGTTATTTATTTAATTCACACTCATTATGTGAAGTAGATCAGACAGTTTTACTGATTGTTATCTCAGTGGTTTATGACTGTTTTCATGTTTGGCAAATTTCTCTCATGTCTTGAAAACAAGAAAATAATCTTAGAATAGTTCACAAGCAGGAGAGGGAGGGAAACATGGCGTTCCATATATGTTCGAAGTTTGTGCCAACACCTTTCAGATTGATTATCTGCTTGGATGTTTTGGTTTTTGGTTCCCAGCTTCATGGCATCCGTCCGTCCATCACTGCAAGGCAAGCTTGAGGGACTGCCGATGACCCTCCTGAGACAAAGGACAAGTGACTCTGAAGAAAAAAAAAAAAAGGAAAATCTATGGTTTGCTCTCCCTCAGAAATTTTTACCCCTATGATTTAGTAAATGGGCAATGGACAAAATCCTCCCTTTCAGTTAGTGTGGCATTGTAATCCGTTCACATGTGGTGTCACATGACTTACATAATTTTTCTTAATTTCAAAACTATCCCTTTAAGGTCTATTTTACCCTTCATTGCTTTTTAAGTTTTCCAAATAAAATCCAACTTACCGATGAAAGAATCTTAGATGAGCTAGGATAAATTAATACGGAAAATGAGGGGTTCCATCCAATTGTGGAAAGGGATGCCCGACCATCCTGTTGCAGGGAAGAAGCCGTGAACATATTTGTATTTGAACTCCTCCAAAACATAGCCAATTTATGTTTAGAAGGCACAAATTGGAGAATTTACACCTCAAGACATTAAATCCTACAATTAAGTTTGTAAATTCATAGGGAAAATTAAGAAGTCACAGAATATTCACCTTGTATGTCAAGAGGCAAAAAAAGTAATCCCCTAAGAAACAAACATCCAGACATGCCCAATAAACTATTGGAATTAATATTCAACTCTTTGAACAAGGTTTTACTTGAGCACCAAAGCAGCTTTCAAGGTCTTACAGTGGGCCTATTTAAACTTCGAATAATGGTATTGGGCCTATTGGCTTACAAAGTTCTAAACGTAAGATCTATATGGTGCTAAAACCCACAACTTAACTAAAACTTGCTTTCATATCCTAATTCCATCTTCATTTACAATTAGGCAACTTATGCTGTACATTGAAATCCAATAAATTTTAAATTAGATTGCTTCATTAATTGATCTATATTGAATAATTGAAGTACTTTTCAATTGAGCTATTCTTTAGGCTCAGTTTGGAAGGAGTACAAATGCAAATATGTAGAGTGCAAAACCTTATATTTTGCATTATTTTGTATGTATTTGCACAGTACATATTTGCATCTGTACTCTTTCCAAGCTCAGTCTTAGCATCTAAAATTATGGGATTCCTCTGATGAGTGAAGAAATCATCTTGAATAGTTGAAAATCGAATTTACAATAGGAAATGCTAAAATCCTATATACAACATATCGAAAATGCTTGTCTAGTAACACTAGGAAATGTCTCTATCATTTTCTACTATCATTTCTTCAAAGAAAAGCTCAGGGTATCCAAATTTATGGAGAAAATTAGCATAGGGTAATATGTTAAAGTCATCTTGTCTCACTATTAAAAATGCCCAAATTTGATATCGTACTATTGAACATTTAAACTATTCTAAAAATGGGGAAAATTAGCGACCTATTAAGCTAAATAAAATCCTAAAATATCTTATTCTCAAGTTTTAGATCAAAACCATCTTACCGAAACCACAAAACACAATCCAAAGACGTTGTTTGTACTTTGGCTACATTGAAGATTTTTCCGAATTTCTGAAGCATGAGGATTTTCTTTTTCCCAACTGAAGGTGAAAATCTAATTTGAGAAGAGACGTGACAAGGAGAAGATAATGGTGGGTTCAGATATGGTCTCTGAGATACCTTGCGGTTCTTGAAAATTTTCATCAATTGAGTTTTATTTTGAAAATTTGAGAAATAATGGAGGGCAAATTCAACATTTTCACCTTTTTCATAAATATTTAACAGTGATGTCTATTGTAAAAAAACTTAAGGGTACTTTAAGTAATTCTTCAAACAATAGGGTAAGTTATTATCTATTTGCTAAACCATAGGAGTACTTTAAGTATTTAACCCAAATTTTATTTGTTTTTTAATGCTATAGTACCCCACCTATTACTGTTTCCAATTATACAAACCCTTGAAAATTTCTCAAGGTGGAGGAATGAATAAAAAAATCCTTAAAAAATGCCAAAGGTCAGGTCCGCATCCAGTCTACTTGTTTCAAGGCCTAATACGGCTGGGATCATTATTAGGTAACAACCCAACATTGATACAGTAAATCATAGTATCATACTTCTCACACTTCCAACCCTGAGGACTTTATTGGTAGTCTTAATGATGTTGTATATGGGTGATTGTGTTGTATAATGTCTTTCTAGTGCACCATGAACTAGGAATGCAAATGGATGGTATCAAGTTTGGAGAGGGGTATATCTGAATTTGATTTGATGATCCGACGAAACTCACAAAACTCAATTAGAATGTCAATCTGTTAAGGATGTTGGATATCTAAGTTTGATTTGACCCAATTTGATTAGCATAAGTCTATATATAAAATTTAACAAATTATTAATGGATAATAATTCTATATAAAGAAAAACAAAAATCTGGTGGGAGATATCCAAATTTGAATCGAATGATCCAATCCATTTGCACTCCACTATGAACCCATTAAACCAACCATGCATTTATGGGGGATTTGGACCACATACTCCTTCGGAGAGGTTCATAAGAAGATTCATCTGGTTGAACAAGGAACATGGTACATGTGTTACAACTTGACCTGTAGGCTTTCCCACGAATCGGTCCCTATATATTGTTTCTGTGTCTAGATTATCCTCTTAGCATCAATGGATAATCCTTTCCTTGACTTGTCAAGCCAATGTGTCCCAAACCCTTGAATACCGTTCATTGCGTCTCAAAAATATTGAGTAATCGGCTATGTTGGCATAGCCCGACTGAGCTACGCTATTGTGGTGGCCCCCATCTTTTCCTTTCAGCCACATCATCTACACGTCACATGGATGAGAACAACCACGAATAAAGAGGAATAAGGAAGACGACCCCACCGGGGAATAGGACTCTATCCCGAATACCTCAGCGTCTAATCTCATCTGGCAACTCCGAAAGCCCAATCTGACCAGGACACGAATCATTGGCTATAAAAAGGTACTTCGTGCTCAAGGTAAGGGATCCGACTTCTAAGACCTACATAGCTACTAGCTCGGACTGGCATCCTTATAGCTCAGCCCGACCATCCTACCACTACCTACTGACTTGAACGTCGGAGTTCTTACCCGGGGATAACTCCTCGGGTCTCTGACTTCTGTTTTCTTGATCACAGATCTTGAAGCGCGGCCTCGTCCTTGTAGATCAACCCGCCCTGCCAACAAGGACTATCTGATCGTCTTCCTCGGTTTGTGCACTACCTCGGATTGAGTAACATCATATATATATCCTCATTTATGTATTAGACATCAAGATTCAAGATGTACTTGCCCTGCATGAAAATACAGTTTGACATGAGTCTGCACAAAGTCTTAGAAAAAAAAAAAAGACATTGAGTCTACAAAAAGTAAATGAGTTAAGGCCCTCCTCTTTCACACATCTCAGTTTATGCTTGGCAACAATAAAGCACATAGATGTCGAAAAGATATGGGTGGAGTGCATCTTAACCATTCCATTTACATCACCACTTTGCCACATCAAAATTGAGAAGACAATATCAATGAGATTCTACATTTCTACTTGTCATTCTCAATAAGTATTTTATCATATTCCAAACCTTAGCTATTTATTTTATAGTCAGAATATTGAGCATACAAGACTCAAGAGCAAGGATAAATGCATTAAAAACATACATATGATATTCCTACTATGTAGATCAAAGAAACCAAGTTGGATGCCTCCAAAAGCATCAAGCTTGCCAATACCCTAAATTATAAAAAATTTTGCTTTGTAGAAGTCAAAGGAATGTTAGGAGGGCTGCTATGCGGATGGAAGGATGACATGCATGGTAACATCTCTTCCACTGATGACAACTTAATTCGCATAGAAATTAATGAGCTTTACTGATATATAGGCACCCCTAGAGAGACAAAAGAAGCCAATTCTAAGATAGAATCAAATCATGGTTGGATCTTTGTACCAAAAACTAGGTTATATTGGGTGATTATAATGATCTGTCCTCCTCACAAGAATATAAAGGTTCTTTTGTCAAAACGTGCAAAATACCAAAATCCCTTGTCAACTTCATAGACTTCTTTGGACTCGAAGACTTGGGATTCATAGGTCCACCATTCACATGGAACAATGGGAAAAACAGTCTTGAAAGAGTTTGGGAGAGACTAGATAAGGCATTTGCAACCCAGTCATGATTGGACCTATTTCTAGATGCTAAGATTAAGCATCTACCAGTCATACATTCAAATCATTGTCCCATCATCTTAGACATGCTATTCACCCAACAATCCATAAGAAGCCAGTTCCATTTCCAATCATATTGGGCAGAAAACAAGGAATGCAAGGAGCTTATTAAAAAAACTTGGAGCAGCAACCGGAGGGGTTCCCCAGGCTACGTCTTCCTCTCTAAGCTGAAATCATGTAAAAGTGAATTGTAGGAATGGATAACATTGAAATTTGGGAAAATCGAGGAATAATTGCACAAAATAAAAGACCAAATCAGTTACTTGCATTCACAAAAGATTGACAACAAGAACATATCATAACTCAATTCACTACAAATACAATATGACGAATGGTTGCAAAGATAAGAGCAACTATGGAGATTGAAGTCCCGTGAACTTTGGATTTTAGAAGGAGACCACAATACAAAATTCTTGCATCAAATGGTGAAACACAAAAGAAGAAGAAATGGAATTTATTGGATTAAAGGCAGT